CTGGCCTCTGAGGACATTGCATGCATGTGGTATATATATATACATGCAGGCAGAACACTCATACACATAAGTTAAAAGTAAATAAAATTTAAAAATTTGCATTTGAGATACTTGAGGTGTATTGATTGGATCTAATATGCTAGAGAGAAAAGAAGCATGTGATTGACATTAAAAAGACTATCAAAACCTTGGATGAATTACCCACCAGCAGTGTGATGTAAGGCAAATTACACAGCTTTCTGATCCCCAGTAAAAAGAATTAATATGCACCCACAAGTTATGAGTTTGAAGCTAATACAATTTTGTATATGAGAACCTGGCAAGGCTGATATGATAGTGGGACTCAATCCACGTAAATTCCAGATCCTTTGCTGTTGTTGGAATAAAATTCTATTGTGGGAAACGAGGGAAGCACACTGAGATATGAAGGTGAAGCTCACAATTAAATGTGAGGATCAGTTACTCTCAGTGGAACCTGGGCTTGTGCTGCAGTAACAGAAATTAACCCAAACTCATACTGGAACCCAAATTTCAGAGCCAAGCTGATTATCTAAAGTGCTTTGATGAGAATATGTGATCTTTGCAGCAGCTGTGACAGTGAGCTAACAAAACAGCCTTTCTGACAGGAGGAGGGTTTTATTTTTTTAAGCTCTGGTCTTTGTGTGCTACAGTCTATAAGTTTTCATGTGCTTCTCTTGAAAACTGCCTTTTTCCTCAAAGCTATTCTTTGCAATTATGGCCATTAATGGCATAGATCCTGTGAAAAGTTATAGGGTGCCAGGAAGGGCAGAGGAGAGAGCTGCGGTCAACATATCTAAGCTTAAACATCACGTCTCAAAGCAGAATTCAATCAAGATCACTCCAATAAATGTCCTTTGTCTCCATCTCTTCACAACACTGCAGGCCACAGCTTCCTGCCTGGCTTTCATTTTAATACCCTGCTTGGCTCATGTAGTGTTTCTGGCACAGTGTGAATGAGTTCTCTCATTGCCCCTCACCCCCAGGCTTGGGTTCTGTCATCTGTGGCTGTCAATGCAAAGATGCAAATGAAAGCTCCTCTGAGGTGAACTGAAGCCCACAGGACACTGCCCTGCCGCTGGCCCTGTAGGGTGCAAACCTACCACCCATGGAACTACTATATTCTGCTGTTCTTGGCTTTCATGACCTCACGCCTGCCTGTCTTTTCCTGAGAACTGCCCCAGACCATCTCAGATCTGTTTTTCTCTACCAACATCTACCTCCCAGACCCACTCAACAAATATTTACTCACTTCTGTGAAGCCATTGCCATTCTAACGCAGAAGAAATTTAGCATTCCATTGACACAGTTTTGGTATAAGCAAAGCTTGGGACCACCTGTTTCTCCTTTCTATAACTTCCTTTCCACCTTGTACTGCTCTCCTGCTTGTCCTTGTATACACAGTGCTGTGTACAGTCTTAGTATTTGCCAGGACTGAGCCTCTCCTAGCTTTCCTCTACTTCTAGAATGAAAACATTTCCTCAGCAGATCCACCAAGGTACACTACTGGTTATCCCTTGATGTATTCACAAGGGTATTTTCTGAGAAGATGGTGTCAGTATAAATGAAATACCCTCCAACTATAGAACTGATGCTATGACAGGATGGGGAGACCATTTGCATGGAAATAGTTCTGGTGCCCTCTGTACTTCTGACTTCAGTACTGCTATCAAGACATGTGCCAGGAGACTCTTGTGCTCTGTGCTCCCAAGAGCCTCAGGACAGAATCCATCATATCTTCCAGGTGTGTCCATCCTCCCCATAGGAAATCCAACCAGGTCATTTCTTACCACCTGGACTGTCATTACTGACTCTGAATATCCCTGAACTAACCCTAACTGTTACCATCCTGGATCAAATCCTTGCACTCTTTCTAGCATCCTTAATCATCAAGTTCCTCTGTTCCTCAGCCTCCTCTTTGTGTTGAGTTCTTTCTATCGGTCCCCCTTTTCAGTAAAGGATTTCCCCCATCTCAACCTTATATGTTGTAAGGATTGAGGAAGGGTCTTGTTTAGTCCTGCTCCCTCTTCCTTTCAGTTTTAAATTCTCCTACCTAAAAATGCCACATCTCCTTGGAGCCATGCTGTCATGGGCTCTTCTTCCTCACTGGTTTCCTCTGAAGACTTTGATACCAGAATCTCTGTTTTTCATAAACAGCCACAAACTCCATCAAAATAGAAATTTCGAAAACCATACGGAGGACCCTTCCCACCCTGGACTCTCACTTTCTTGGCCTCCTTTCTAAATGATATTCTTCACCTTTTCTTAACCATCTGTAGACCTGGCACTTGTGAATGACCACACACCACAAAATTTCACTTTCAAAGCTTTACCTCTTTGACTCCCATGTCCCACCTGTCTATATCCCTCCCTCTGCTCCAAGTTTAGTTATTCCTCAGCCGCACCACAATCACTGGCCCATGGGGTCTGCCACCTTTTCCACAGTCCCACACTCCTGAGATTCCTTTTGTTCTCTATGTCCATTGCAGACCCGATAGTGTCTCACTGCAGTGCCCTCACCCTTCCCTGGCCTATCCCAGCATTCTCTGCTATACTCTTGGGTGAACTAAACATTTATTTAAGTCCAACTCCATGCCTCTTCTATTTCTAAACAATTGAATATACCAAAAGAGAAATAATGTCCAAGAGCCCTCATTTAACTCCATAAGTACTAATGTGCTGAGCCACTGCTGAGGCCCAGGATCCCTTGAGAGGCAGCAGGGCGTGAGAAGGCTTGTGGAGCCAGACTTCCTGGCTCAGGCTCCTCACTCTGCCCTCTGAAAATGGTACCATTATGAGATACTTAGAGTCAATGTTACTGCCTCAGTCTCTTCATCTGTAGAATGGAAAGAAGAAGCATATTTGGCTCTAGGATTGTAGTAAGGATTAGCTGAATTAATGTATATGAAGTGCTTAGAAAAGTTCTGTTTTTACATAGGTCCGCTTACTTTCCTGCTGCCTTAGGAAAATATTTCATATGCTATTTTCTCTCTTTCTCCAAATCCTGCTTGCCCTCCTCACTTTGAATCAATGGCCTTGATTCCCCCCCTTTTTTTCTGAGATATAGAATGAAATGAGAGAGAGCTTTCTTCACCCCAAATCAACTGATATTTCTCAGCGGTTCTGGTGTCATCTCTGTCCCTTTTGCCACAGTGAGTGAGTCTGTGCTTCCATCAAGCACCAAACAGCCCCATCCCCTTGTATCTTGGAACCCACCATCACTATAAAATACCTACTTCAGGGGCTAGAGAGATGGCTCAGGGGTTAAGAACACTGGTTGTTCTTGCAGAAGACCCGGGTTTGAATCCTAGCACCCACATGGCAGCTAATGACTGTCCATAACTCCAGTTCCAGGGGATCCAATAACCTCTTCTGTCCTTGAGGGCATTGGCAGGCAATACACTCATACACATAAAAATAATAAAATATTAAAAAAAATACCTAGTTTAATTTTTCCTTGTTTTCTTTTAAATCTACTCCTGTAGCTAATTTTCCCCTCACAGTGTTCTATCAAGACTGCTCTTATCAGGTTATCAGTGTTCATTATGACACAAAATTCCTGCTAATTTCCCAATTCATCTTACTGAATCTATCGGTAGTACCGGGCAGGGCTTTGCTCCCCTCCCTGGCTTCTGGGATACCACCTCACCTTTCTCCTCTTTTATCTTGACCACACCTCCTGGGGATCCTTCGCTGGTCTCTTTTGTGACCTCTGACTACTGAGAATCTTGCCCCAACACTTGTCTCTCTTTACATTGACTTCTTTGGTGACCTCATCCAGTTCCAAATGTTAAATGCCACATCTAATGATGCCCATGTTTTTAAGCTCCAGCCATCTTCAGGGTATATCCTTTCACTTCCTGCTGACCTTGGCTCTAGAGATCTTCCCAGGCCATGCTGAAGAAAACAGTGCCCTACCCCATTATTCTATCTCATCACTTTGTCTCCTTATTCTGACTTTTCAATGCACAATAGTACTGTTTCCCTGGACATATTCATATAGTTAAAGCCTTTTGGAAACAGGGACATTATTTATTCCAAAAAGTATATTGCACATAAAATGCTTGTGACTAAAAACATGATCTCATTCGGTCCTGACAATCCCCCAATAATCTTATTAGAGGGCTTATTACAGATGATGAAACAGAATCAACTTAACTCATTGTCACAGAACTGGTAATGCAGGTAGCCTTTGGACTTGAGTGCACACCTACTTAGGGGTCACAGAAGGCTGGAGGATCAGATGAACAGGTACTTTGGATTGGGTATGCACCTTATCTTGAGGACACTAGAGAACACCATAGTGGCAGTGATGGGAGGTGGGGAAATGGTAGTGACCTATCTTTGGTAAGGAGCTGACTCCATCCAAACGTTCACATACTGGCCTGTCTCAGTTCCCTTGTCACTCAATCATATGGACTCAGAGTTCACTTTGGCATCTCATTGGAAAGTTCAGGGTGATGGTGTATTGCACACTTTGCTAGCATCAAACTGTCATGTGCTGATAATATTTAAGTCAAGATTTAGTTAAAAACTCCAAATCAATTTTACATTGAGGTCTGTGACATTCAAAACCTTCTTGCCATTTCTGTAGCAGCCTGAGAGTTGGTGTATTCCTAAAGAAGCTTGTGTGTTAATACCAGAGAACCATTCAGGGTGCTATGTGATGACTCAAAATGCCAGGACTTGAACTAAACAGACCAGCAAAACCTAAGCTAATTAAATGGTACATTATAACTCAAACTATACTTAAAAGGATAGGATTTCTAAAAGTTTGATTGAATGAACTTTAAAAATACCTACTTTTTAAATATTCGACTTCTTTAGAGTTTGTGCTCTATGGATCCTGACCTTTCAGTTTCCTCATATATGGGGTTGTAAGGTTAAGAGATATTTCCATGTAGGCAATAAATGTGTTTGGGTAATAGATAAAATGCATCATACTTCCTTGATGTAACGAACTGCCATTTTCTGTTTCAAAGAGACCCAACTCTTCACCCTCCAATACCTCCAAAGCCCAGTTCTCCTGCTGCTTCTCTTAAGCAGTCGAGACAGGGTAGCAGGTAAGACCTAGCCCTTTAGGATTTCTTGTCAGAATGAAGTTCAGTAGACTTGTGCATGATGTTGTGAAAAGCATGGATACGCTTTCTGTGTGTGTGCATTCTCTAATGAAACTTTTTGGTTTTATCTATTAACGTGCATGTGTATTTGGTTTTGCTTTTGAATAGCGATGGCTATTACTGGTCTTATGGAAATATGCCTTCAAAACAGGCATGGACCAGTGGAATTGAGTGTTCATATGAAAGCTTCTTATATACTAGCACTTAATATATACATATAAATATGAATATCTGGCATATATTTAATAAAATGTCAACCACATTAAACTATATATGAAAATAGATTTCATTTATATTTACTTGTAGTTAAGTTTACCATTAAGAACTATATATTGTGAGGAAAGATTTTCTTGCAAATTTATGCCACTCCTCAAATCTTCAACTGTAGTAGAAATGTCTTTGGGTTTTTATTTGATCTTTTAGCTAAATAATTTTTAAGTTATTTTAAAACTATCAGAAATTTTGACGAATATTCCAATTAACTCGTCTCAGAGTCAGGAAAAAATAGACTTGCTTTTCTGCTTTGAACCTCTGCCATGCTATAATTAACACTTCAAAACAAATTCAGAGACTGGAAAATCTTCCATGTGTGCCTGTTACACTGTTTAATAATCTTGAACTATTTTTTAAGATGTACATTCCCTTTTTTCATTACTATTGTGAGATTAAAACATGGTCTCTCAGTGGAGACTAAATATGTTAGATCTGCTTGATTGCCTGCCTTTGATTCTTTTGTATTCTTGCTTCTGGGGGGTTATTATATATTTTTTTTACAGCATGCAATACACAATTATACAGGTATTATTTAGTAAGTCACAATTATAGGACTGTTTTTAGTAAGAAGATGACCCGCTAGAAAGTGTTGACCAAGGAACAGGGCTGTGTGGCATTGGGTATTCATCCTTCAGGGGTAAAACTCTCAGAGCTGAGTTTCTATTCAGTAAATTTCTCAGGATCTTTGAAATTTTGTCCTTAGGATATTTTTTTAATGAGTCAGGAGAATCTTTATTCACGGAACTAATTAAGATATAGATTAGTTTTATATCATTCCAATCCTATAATGATTATAATTATCTCATAACGTGACTTCTCAAGGTTTCCGCCTACCTGATTTGTCCTCTTACTCTTATAGTATGAATCAATTAAGTCATAATTTGAATAGGTTTTTTTTTTAAAAAAACAAAACTAAAATAAGTTGTCCTTGTACCACCTAATCTTCTAATCTTCTAGAGGGGAGCATGCTTATATTCAAAAGAGGCTAAATGCCATAGGAATTAGTTTAATCCATTTTCACTACTTCAATTTCTTCCATCAATGATGTGAAAAATAAAATTGGGACAACTTGCATGTTTTAAAAACTCTGATTACTTTAATCACAGCATGGTGATTTTAATGAAAGAATATGAAAGGGAAGTGTTTTCTATGTAATTAACACATGTCCTCAGGAGAACAAAAAGATAGTTGAATATAGCTTCTTGAGAATAAGCAAGAATGTATAAGTAGGTCAACCAGGGTCTAAGGAGAAAAGGAAAGTCTTTTAAATTCTGACAATCTAGCAGTACACAATTTAATGCTGACAGTTCAATGTGGCCCTTCTCAATATGGTAGGTATATTTGAAATGTAGACTTATTTCTGATCTTATCTATCTTATCTGAGCAAACACATTTTTGATAGTATTCAGATGGGATACGTTTTTAAGAAAAAAGTCATTCTAGGGCTACAGAGATGGCTCAGCGGTTAAGAACACTGGTTATTCTTGTAGAAGACCCGGATTTGAATCCCAGCACCCACATGGCAGCTAACAACTGTTGGTAACTCTAGTTCCAGGGGATCAGAAAGCCTCTTCTGTCCTCCGCGGGCATTGCACAACATGGGTGCACTTACCTACATGCAGGCAATACACACATACACATAAAATAAAAATAATAAATAAAATATGAAAAAGATTAAAAAAAGAAAAAAGTCATTCTTTTGGTGCCTAATAACAATTACTCTTAGTATTTAAAATATTATATCATCTACTAGAGAGAGTCAAAATGCTTTGATGAATGAAGATTAACAGTGTATAGAACCGATACTTCTGGATATATCCTGTGGTTTAAAATATATGAAAAAGATTAAATTATATAATTAGAATATTGAACTTTTAGGCTTTCAAAAGCAGGATGGTTGTGTTCTAATCAACCCAAAGAAATAGGGTAAAATTTTATGTCAAGTGATAAAATATAGTTCTAATATGCACTATTATTTTTGAACATACATGTCTTATAAATTTAAATTTAACATAGAAGAGCTTTTTTTTTAACCTACTAGACATTATCTTTAAAAATCCAGGCAGATACATGCAATGAAAGCAGGTATACATGGAGAATCCAACAGACATGCTGAAAGAAGTATAAGGTACAGCAATTCTTCATGTGGCTGTAATTCCAGTAATGATAGTGTACACTTTGTTGGAGTACTCTAAAAAAACAATAAATGAGATAAAATCAGTTTTCTTGCTAACTTCAATTATAGTAGATACAGTTTTTTATAGGGACTTGCTCTTTTAACTTCTCTCTTAAGATTTGTGTTACAAATCCCAAACTGTCTGAACCTAAGGACAGGATGAGCTCAAACCCCTTGAAGGAAGGTGTACTTATCCCCCTATTCCCAGCATTAACCTCAAGGTATATAGGGCACAGTTGCTGTGTGAATATAAATGAACAGGAGGAAATACACTTGCTTAGTTGAACTCATGCTATAGAAGCTTTCCATCATGCTGGTTGTAGAAGCCAGAGACAGCTCCCCCTGCAGCATCAAGGCAGGCTCACAAATTGTGTTGATTCTTGTGGCATTTCACAAATCTCTGCTTTTGCCATGAAGGTTTGCTTTCTATTGTTATGACAAAGCACTGGCCAAATACAAATAGGGGAGGAAAGAGTTTATTTCAACTCTTTACAGTCCATAATTGAGGGAAGCCAAGGCAAGAACTCCAGGCAGGGGCCTGGAGGCAGGAACTGAATCAGAGACCATGGAAGAACCCTGCTTTCTGGCTTGCTTCCCCTGGCCTTCTCAGCTCCCCTTGTTAGACAGCTCAGGCCTACCTGCCCAGGGATGCTCTGCTCACAGTGAGCTGGACCTTCCTACATCAATTAACAATCAAGAAACTGCTCACAGACATGCCCATAGGCCATTCTGATGGAGGAAACTCCTCAATTGAGAGAAATCTTCCTGGGTATGTTTAGATTGTGTCAAGTTGAAAAAAACTACCTAGCACAGTCTTGATTCATGCCTCTTGTTTTGCACATCCTACATAGTTTAGCATTCGTTCTGAGTATATCTTGTTTATATTTCTTCTTTTTTGTTTAGGGAAAATTAATAGGTTTGAAATTACTTTTACAAAGCCAGACGGTAGCACATACCTGTAATTCCAGCACAAGGGAGGCAGAGGTAGGAGGCTGCTTGTAAGTTTGATAATGAATTCCAGGTTAGCTAGGGCTACATACTAAGACCCTGTCTCAAACAAAACTAAACTGAAAGAACCTTTCTAAACACTGCTGTTTTATAGGTTCATCAGTATGATAAGCCTATTTTCAGTCAAAAATTATTTTGACTGAAATGTTTCCTGAAGTACAAACTCTTTTATATTACCACTCTGACTCTTAGAAGAGTCTCAGTTTGAATCACAAACCACGCAGATACCCTACATTTGAGGAGAGTTGTATTTCCCTGTACCCAACAATTTAGTGTAAAACTCTCAGTGCCTCCCAAACTGTGTTCCATGTGTCATGTGATGTCAGTGTATGTTCTGTGAAAGAGTGCAAAGGCCCAATGCAACTGAGGAACCCAGTGAAACAAGGTTCTCTGTGGTAGAACCTTTCAGATCTTTCACCCTGCTTATGTATACAGAGAATCACCAAAGTGGGTTAGATTTCTCAAAATTAACTTGATGACATCTTGCTTTCCTCATGGAACCAGTTACCTTTCTATGAAACATTTGTAAAACTAGGGCTTTAATTGCAAGAGAACCTGTAAGAACTTTCCCAATTATTTCTTTTTATGATCTTGGGAAAGCTGTAGGCATCCAAGGCCCCCATGTCTCAGATTCTTCCACATGTTCTATTATTTAAAATATTCTTTTAGGGATGGGCATAGAGCTCAGCTCTGTAGTAAAGTGCTTATTCCCCATGCCCAAGGCCCTAGTTTAGCACCACAAAGAACAAAAATCCCTCGACTTTCTTTCCCTTTGGAAGCCCAAGAAGATAGATATTTTAACACCTCCTCCCAGGGATTTAAACTGTTTGCTTAGTGATTTTTGGATCTCAGAGAAAAAAGCTCCCAAATTCCCCTCTCTTTACTTGTGCAGTTAATATCAATTGGATTTTCTTTTTCCATGTCCTTTATAAAGTATAGAACTTGAGAGTCACCAATGCCAGTTCTTATGAGAACAGGTAGTTATTTTACTGAGCATTAGAAGGCAGACCCAACACCTTTTGGAATGAGGAAGAGGGTATGTGCATGCATTTGTTAGTGGAAATGAGGGATACTGGTGTCCGGGTGTGCCATGAGCTGAGATGACAGGACCATCTTGTTACTTGCAAAACTCAGCATTTCTGAATGTGGGCTATCGTTTCCTTCTCTGGAAACCTGAGGAACTGTAGGTCCTTCAGGTCTAGCTCCACTATCACTGACCTGCTTCTATTCTCTATTGTTTGAAGGAACCAGGATATGGACGACCTCATCAGGGCGGCCACTTCGCTTCAGAAAGCTGACAAAGGGTGAGGTCTCAGAGCTCCCAGGCTTGGTTTTCCATTTCCCTGTGATTCTCCAAAAGGCCTAGCTAGTGCTTTTTTAGGTTCTGAAGATGAGCCAATTCCCAGGTCTGCTTATTGTATATAATTAAAAAGAAGATAGCCTCAGTGTGCGTCTGCAATCACACATGCATAGTAGATGGTGCAGATGTCTATGGACACTCTTGATCTTCCAGTGACTTCTCATCCTAGGGGCCTCAGATCTCAAACCTCAACCACATCTCCAGTCCTGTATTTGTGTTGTTGACCCAGATATCCACTTATTTTTCTCCCTAGTTCCTCCATTTAGATGCTCCCTAGACCTTATAAACTTTCTTCCCAAATGTACTATTTATTCTTCCATTCCAGAAGGCTTACCTTTCTAGAATCATTCTTGATTCTTCCACTCTTTTCCTCTCTATGTAGTAGAGGCATGTATGATGTAAATGTCTGCAATGCCTCTTGAATATCCAGGGCCTCTTGCTGGTTCAGACCTTCTCTGTCTCCAGCATTAGCACTTACCTTTGCTACTTGAATTGATGTACATCCCTTCAGCCTCTCCTGTTTCAGCATTGTACCTCCAGTGAACGCCAGAGACTTTTCTATACATTTTTGCTCAACCCCTGCTGTGGCTTCTCACTACCCATTTAGTCACATCTAACTTTGTTTGCTAACCTGGATCAAGCCCAGTATTCCAGAGTCATTTGTGATTTCACCCACATATTTATCCTATATTCAATACCAGATTGGATTGCTTTCTTTCTACAATTCCTAGACACTTTTGAATGCTGTTCCTTCTACATGATGATCTTTAGACTACTGTGTCACTCTATCCAAGCCCTACCATTTTTCAAATTCAAGGTCACATATTACCTCACTTGTGAAAGTTTCCTTGTGTGACCAGCGAAAAGTGACTCTTGCCTGTTTAAGTAATTAGAGCCCAGCTATTTCCATTTCACAGTACTTAATCACTTTTGCTCTTGATCCATGTTATCTGTATAAATGTATCACCTTCCCTTTCATCTCTAGGGAAGATGTTTTTTCTCAGTCACTAGAGGTCATTTGCCATATCTGACATCTGCTTTGTCCTAAGGAGGAGATTATGTTGTAGCTTATGGTAAAATAATGATGAGTAGTGAGAAAACCCTGATACAGCTATTTCATCATTTAAATCCCAAACCTGATGTTTCAGGGGATTAATAATTAAATAATAAGAATAATTAAATAATAAGAATTTGTTAGAGTGTGTCTCACTAAAAATGAAACTAACCACCCAAATAAACACTAACAAAACAAACAAACAAAAAACAACAAAAAAGAAGGCTAGACATGGGGAGCATACACCTTTTATTCCAGGACATGGGAAACTGAGACAAAGGCTTCTGAAGTCCAAGCTGGGCTACAGAGCTAGACCCTACCTCAACAAACAACACTACTCAAGAAGAAGAAAGAAAGTGACTCTTGGCTTTTCTGTGCAAACTCATAAGCTAATAGGAGTTGTGCATTAGCTGGAGACCAGAAAGTGTCTGCATGTTTTATGTTCTAGTTCCATGTTTTCTTTCATTTAAGTTCCCATATATCTAATATCATTACTTTACTTTTTTGAAGGAAGTTTTTTAGTACTGGGGATTGAGCCTGTGACCTCACATAAGCTGGCCATGTGTTTTCTCACTGAGTTATCTCACTAAGTTCCCCAGGCTGGCCCTGAGCTCACCCTGTAGTCCAGGAAGATCTTGAATTTATAATCCTTCTACCTCATTTTCCTGAGTAGTGGGGATCACAGAGCTGCACCTCCATGCTCAGCTTAATATTTTATTTTCAATAATGACTGAACACATATTTGGTGGGTGATTAAGATGACTGAGGGAAAGACAAGTGGTGATGTTGATGTGAAATCATAGTGTGGCACAAGTCACACACCACAATGAGAGCAGCAGCTGGCTTGGCTCTCCTGTCCCTGCTCCCTAGCCAAAGTAACAAAGCTGACAGAGATATATATTCATAGTAGAGAGAGGTTTCTGCTTTGACATGGACCAGAGGAAATGTACTATGGGCTCAAAGGGAATAGAAGAGCTTTAACATCCTGGCAGCTCTTTGTGGAATAAAGTGTACTGCTGACTGATTAAGAGCTTTTAATCTGTTGCAAAGGCAATGGTGAAACTTACTATCTAAGGCTTTTATCAGTTTTCATTTGGAAAGCTCGAGTTCTTTATTCATGATACTATGTCCATGCAATTTAATTTACCATAGAGTGTCTTCTCACAATTTATACTAATTCTCTTGTGATAAATACAAATAACCCCAAAGCCCAAAAGTCTCATTGTTGTGATTCATGACAATCAGGAAGCTCTGGGGCTAAAATTTACAGGATTCTTAAAATCTCTCTTTCCCTTGGGACAGGAACAAATCTGCAGGCTCTTTTGATCAGGTAGAATTTCAGTCCAGAAGCAGTAACAGAGCACCATGTTAGGGGACTAGGCAGTTTGTTTCCCATAGGGGCAGAACATTCATCTTTTTCTTTTCTCAGTCAGGGGAAGCAATGTTTTCAAATTTTAGCATTTATTCTCAATCTTCAACATTACAATTAAATCTACAGCATTACCTTGAATCATCTATGTGATGCTGATTAATTGAACATGTTGGGGTCTCTGAGGGGACTGCCTGGGAGGTTCTGGGAATAGCTATATTCCTAACATCTTCACCATGCAGAAGTGACTCATCTACTGTAGCTCTCTGAGCCGAGACAGTGTGTTGTTATCTATAAATTTAATTGAAAAGATAAATCTAGCAAGTATGTATTAAATGAAAAATTTACTATTGACAAGGTACTATTTATTATAATGGCTAACATTAATTGAAAATCTATGACTTACCAAGCATTAAGATAAGTACTCTATTAACTTATCAATTATTTTCCAAGATGAATATGATTAGTATTCTCAGTTTACAAATGGGAAAACTGAATCAGCAAGAGTTGAAGCAATTTACTCAGGGTCACCAATAAATCATGATGACCCCTAGATAGCACTGCAGATGTCCTTGGCTTAGAAATTTGAAGCTGTAACTACTAGGTTTTCAGGCTTATGGTTACCCGGTCAATACCAGAGTGACCCAGGAAGAAAGAAGGTTGTTGAGAAAGCAGGATCAGTATATGATTCTAGGGCAGTAGAACAAAGCCAAGATTTGTGAATGGAAACACTAAAGGAGAAAGGTAGGAGAAGTGGGGAGGCAGCAGATGGAAGGAGAGGAAACCCAGGGAAGACAAGGTGAAGGGCATACAGCAGGAGGCAACAGAGACCAAGCCAGACCCCCTGCTTGGCAGGAAGAGCTGAGCCCATGTGGTTTAAGATGAATTTCCCAATGCAGAAGCTTAGCTTAGATAGGCTGAAAAGGCTGCCAGAAAGGGCTTTGCAGTTTTCAAATATGGAAAAGGGCTAGTAAATTTAGTCTACCTAGATTGAAGTGTGGTAAAGAAAAAAGTCAGACTTACAGAAGAGCAAGTGTTTTTCGAGTACCTACTTTCTGTACAAGTACATTGTGTAAGTGTATAACCTATAATTATCCAGTCTATCATACTTGATTTAGTTAAAAACTAGTATTAAGTATCTACTTAAAGGTAATGCATTAAAGACTAGAGGAGATACATTATAAAATACAGTTCTAAATTTTAAAAACATTAAACAGATTTTATTCATTTAAAATTCTGTATATGTGTGCCTGTGTGTTTATGCACACATGAATGTAGTCATCCAAGGATGCCAAAATAAAGAGTGTCAGATCCCCAGGAGCTAAAGTTATAGATGATTGTGAGCTGTCTGATGTGGATGCTGGAAATTGAACTCAGGACCTCTGGAACAACAGTACATGTTTTCAACCACTGAGCCATCTCTCCAGCCCCCTATTCTAAATTTTAAGTGATGTAGGTATATTTTAAGTGGGTGGGTACATTAACATGCAATAAAAGCACATTTGCCATTGCTGTAATGCATAATACAGTGAGCTGCAGTGCCATGAAAGAGACACGGAACCCCCACATGCTGCAGGAGTACTACACATAGGGGAGGCCTTAGCTAATGAACTGGAAGGGCTACCTTGGCAGCAAGGGGTTTGAGGAACACCTTGCGAGATAATAGGTCTTCACAGATAATTAAGATGAGACATTTGTTGTACTTCTGAGGACTCAGAGTTATTTTAAGGTGAATTTGCCTCTTGGCTCTGGGAAGACTTAACTAATATTAGATTTTGTTTTCTCTTCCAAAAGTGAAGAATTGGATAATCTTATCAAAATGAGCAAAAGCTTGAATAGGTAAGGTTTTAAAAATATTTGTGTGTGTTTGTGTGTGTGTGTGTATGATTGTTGAATTGCATCTTGTGACTTCTTGTATCTTTCTAGAATTTAAAGCAATGCTCAGTCATGGAGCATAAGGATTAACACAGGACACTAGTTAATAATATCCTACAGGTCTTGAATAAAAAACTTGCAGAAACAATTAAATGGCTACCAGTGTGAAGATAGTAATATTAAAGTATCTTTGATTTTCATGTTCTACTTATTATTAAGCTAGTTACATTTATATGTATACCACATTTTCTGATTTATTGATATACTCATATGTACTCAGTTTGGTCGATTACTGAATATGTTCAATTTACTCATTTCAAATCACACTAATATCTTTGTTGACATCATTTCTCTATTTGGAATCACTTAAGACCCCAAAACAAAGTATTCTAGGAATGAAAAATAAATGATGTAGGCAGAAAGGGGTGTATAATTTTAATTATTTCTCAGTTACTTTTATACTAGTTAACAAACCATCAGGTACCAAAAGGAAGGAGAGCATAAATGTCAAATGAGTTTATTGATCAAAGGATATGAAATATGTCTTTCATATCCTGTTTGGAAAATAGTGGTCTTTAGGATGACTATTGACAAGTCCCTTTTCAGTTTCCTCATTCAGAAGAACAGGAAGGTTTAGATTGGGAACAAGAGAAGGCAGGAGTAGAGGTGGCTGACCTTATGAAACAAAAGTAGTGTGGGAATCTGGGCAAGAGCAGGGAATGCCTTTGAAAGCATGTCAGCCCCAGTCGAAGGAGGCCATGTGGGAATTTGGAGCCAGTGTTCTAGAACATTTTCAAAAGCTCCTGAAAGTTCACAGTCATGTTTCATGGCTAGCTCTATAAACGCTGTCTCACGTTAAAAAAGAAAGCTTGTCAGGACCCGCAGGCCTCTCTCCCACCCACAGGCTTCTCTCTCCAGGGTAAGTCTATGGCGCCCTCCACGACTTGACTCCCCCAGCCTCATTCACCCTCCCATCTACCCCCTGATCTCTCCTCCTAGCCTGGGTCCCGTCCCATTCCTTGTCCCCCTGCCCCAGACACCTGGGGAATCACCACTGCTTCCTGATCCTGTGAACCCAGACCAACTCAGTGCCTTCTCAGGTCCCCTGGAGCACTCTGGGCCTGCCCCCCAACCCCTCACCTCCCTCTACTTCTTTGGGCAGGCACCACCCACCAGCCTCTTTCCTGGACACTGGGGCTGACCTTTCCTCTTCCTGATCCTTTGCATCCAGACCAACCCAGCTCCTCAGTGTAGTCCCCAGGAGCCCTTGGGGCTGCTTCCTGCCCCCATCTGCTTTTGCATCTCTGGGTGGCATGGCCACCAGTTGCCCTAGACCAGCATCTTCCCTGGGCCCAGCTCCCAGGCCAGTACAGACCTCAAATTCCTGAGGACAAAATCTTTCCTGGAGGGATCCACACCTTAGCAGAAAGCCTGAGAGCATCTGATCCTCATCTGACTTGGGCCTCTGTGGGAACTCCTGAAGACAAAAGCAATCTGGCCAT